CCAGCCACATCCTCAGAGGTGTGGTTAGCATGGCTGCAGGTCACAGGGAGAGATCTGCCAGCAGCCCAGGTTAAGCAGCCTCTGCCATCCCCGGGGAGCTCATCCCCACGCCGGCACAGCCCCTCCTGCGATGCTAGCATGGGGCCCCAAGGCCACGCGAAGAATTGGATCAGGGAACTGGCCCAGATGAAAAATAACCTGCCGAAAGACAAGGGTTATTTCCAGCCAAATCAGTTCCCCAGCCAAGCGTACTTGTGCAACCACTCCAACCTGCTGCTCTGGCGCAGGGAGGGGGAAGGTGCATGCATGGAAACCAGCAGCTGGAGTCAGGAGGAGGGCTGGGGCTGCCACTGAAAAAAAAGTATATTAATCTAAATGCTCGGCTGGGGTTGTGGGAAAACACAAATCCTCTTTCTCAGCTCTCCAGTATGTTCTCCTTTAAGCACCAGCAGTCAAAGGAGAGCAGGATTTCAAATGCAATTTCAAGCCCTCTGAATGGATCAATCACTTCTAAATAAACATCTGCCTTTGGACTGCCTCTAGCGCTTTCACTGCCTTGTCCATCACTGTCGTTCCAAGATAAGGCGTGTGGAAGAAAGCCATCTCCCAGGCAATTCCAACTATTTACCAATGTCAAATTAATGCACTTGGAAGCAGAGCAAAGAAGAATTTCCTCTGTTCTTTCACCAGCCGTAATGCTTTATATGCAGACCAAATCCAGAATATTAATGCTCAGAAGCACAAGTATTACAATCCCACTTGTCTCTGTGAAAAACAAAATGGATTTTGTGATTTTGTTTAAGAAACCTCAGCTGAACAGCTGAATTTAAGAGTAATTAAGGTAATTCCTGTCTTCACCGGTAAAAGTTTGGGCAGTTCTAACGAAACATTTAGAGATAAGAACACAGTCACTATTTATACCAACCGTGCTATCACTCACAGAAAAGCAGAAACCAAGAACTGTAGGCAGTAAATCTCTATGTACTTACACGAGTCAAATTTCTCTTCACCACTCATTTCTTTCCTAACACCTGCATGTCATAAGCAACCACTGATGACAAGATTGCCCACTTTTATAAGAAAACAAAACCCTTTTGGCACCATAAAAAAAGAAGGGATAACCTCGTGGTTAAAGGGCTGGCCTACAAAGCAAAAGGTTAAAGGGCTGGCCTACAAGGCAACTCCTATAGACTCTTTGCTCACATACAGTCTATACGATTTCAATAGAGAACTCAACAACCAAATTCAGAAGGTACTTTGGCACCAGCGACACTCCTTCCTTTCCAGTGATCCAGCTCGAGCGGGATGGATGGAGAGTAGCTCCATTTCCAGTTTTGTCTACAGCCTGGAAGCAAGGAAAAATTTTCTGAAAGTGCGATCCAGGGATTTACTAACATCCAAGGATTTCAGTTCCTGGATGCATCCTGTAGCCACTTGTCTGTTATGCAGAATCTAGGTAGCACATCCTCCCCTTCCTTCTGCTCCCCTGGCAGCTACGTTTCAGGAGAAGTTGTGATGTGGCTGCATAAAATGAGGAAGAGGCTGTGAGAGCAGAACTCAAAACATGCATTTAAGTCTAGGTAAGAGATTAAGCCAGAGATAGTCTCTTCTGGGTTTTTTTGGCGGTGGTCAGCTTACACGTCCCAGCCCTCAGCACACTGGCTCCTGTGGAGTGCCTAAATACAGCATATAGGAAATTTGGCATTTAAAGTAATAGTGTAAATATTGCATCTAGAGGTAGGCACACGACTATTGCAGTGTTCGCTCTCTCAAAGCCTGGATCTGAAATCTTCGTTGGTACCTTTAAGCATCAAGAAAGCACTAAGGAAAAATACTATGAATCCAAGTTCTGCATTACCTTTCTATGTAACCAACTGATTGCCTCCTCATCCATACCTCTATTCTTCCTGCAAAGTCCTCTCATTTTAAATAAATTTCTCCCCGAACCCACAGAACCTCAACAATGCTGATCTTAAAACGCTAACTAACCTCTGTTTTCTTCGCTGTGGCGATCTCCTTGGAAGCAGTTGCATCACAACTATCCTGAAAAAAAAAAAAAAGCATTTCTCCATGTCAGGACAAAGAAGAGACAGATTGCTGCTCAGATGTAAAAATTACAAGGAAAAGGCATCACAGGGATTTCCAGTCCTCCCCAACACACTTTACCTGGCAGGTGGTGGCAGGAGAGACACGCTTCCATTTGCAGCTGGCACATTCACCCTTGTGTATACATCGTGAGCAGCTGGTAACACAGAAAACAGAGTTTTTGTAAGACACAGGAACTCAATCGAGATTCAGCCATGAATGTGAAATTTCAAGTGACAGAAAAAAGCAAGAGAACAACCTGGCAAACATGTAATGAAATGTGTAAAACACATAACCTGTGTTTACCCTCCAAGCCTATTGTTCTGTTGTGCTTATTCTGAGGACAAATTTAGTATGAAATACAATCTGTGCTGAGATGCTGAGAGTCATAAATTTCCAAAAAAGCATGAAGCAGATGGAACACTTTGGGTTTCATTTTGCTGTGGTTTTCTCCAGTACGTAAGTGGCCAGATAGTACTTTTTAACCAGAAAAGGGCAAAAAACATCAGTGATTCTTTCACTGCTTGCCTCAACTCCTGTTCAGTGTGTGTAGTGCCAGCAAGTACTGCTAGATCGCTATGGCCTTCCCCTACCAAAAAATATGCCTGCTGGAGACTAGTTTGTCCTATCTTGGTTTGCAGTGCATCTATCAGCATGGAGGAGAGCCAAGAGCAGTACAAGCCCTCTCCATGCACGCTGAGAAATGCTCTGGTTTAGAGAAAGACAGCTCCTTCCTTGTGTTGTTCCAGGGACAGGGAAGTGATGTGCAACTTCCCAAAATGCAGGACTTCAATTTCATCCCAGGTGCCTATGAATTAGCCTTTTTGTATAGGGGAGGAGCACTCTGAATGGAAACACTGTAGTTACCTACAGCGTATGTTAGCCAGATCTAAGTTTTAACAACGACATATAATAAAGGGTTAGGGCATGTACTGGGACAAATGCTTTCTGCTGCAAGCTCTCAACAAAGAGTGTGGCTCTGAAAAATAATGTGTACAGAACAATAGGTATTCGTTATTCCTATTAGCAGATTAGATGTTACTTTCTGGTTTAATTGCACTTATGTGACCCATGGATCATATTTAAATTGCATCTGGCTGTATTAAAAACCAGCTCCATAAAGTGACTTTGACAGAATCTCTTGAGTTCTCTGATCTAGATCTTATCCTGAGTACCAGGGGCCCACCTTTTTCAAAAGGACAAAAAGGATTTTAATGTCATTGTGATATCCTTTATTATCTCTTCAGGCACTTGTCATAAATTCAGTCATTGTAATGACTCTCCTACAGCGAGCTGCCAGGGTCCCATTAAATAAAAGAGTCATCAGAAGTAGCTTTCTAAGGACAATAAAAAAAGAGGAGAAGGAGGAAATGGGCCAAGAAAAGGGATTTGACTTTCTTTAGTGAAATATATTTCCTTAATAAACACCAAAAAAAAAAAAAGATCATACTTCAGCCCCCCTCCCCATACACACACACAAGCCCCTCAATGAACTTCAACAGGAACCAGGCTCTTACTTTTCCAGCTGAAATGTTTGTGTGATATTCCAAGAGCTTGAGGACAGCGATGCTTTGAGAACTAGACAATCTGGAAAAATGTGACTGTTAGACATATGCTGGATATAACAAGAAATAACTGTAAAAAAAAAATAATTGAGTTGAAAGCTCATGTGCCTTCAGCTGTTCTCTACATGGTATGCACCTTCTCTCATACACGCACTCACACTTTTGCCTGATAAAAATAACTAGATTTTGTCCTTCCATAGCACCCTTCAGCTGAGTTATTCCAAGACTTAATACAGACTCTATAAGTAAGCTTGACGCCACCACTGCATGGCAGACAAACGTAATGTTATTGTCAGGGTACAGATAAGGAAATGCTACCATGGAGCAGGGATACAAAATCATCTCCCGAGGAGCACACAGTGGTATACTGTGGCACAGCCAGGTCCCAAATTCAAGTCTTCTAACAGAACAGACTGTTCCAATGCGAGAGACCCCAATACACCCCACTTCTCTCTCTTTCTGTCTCAGAGACTTGGTTTCAGAGTCTTCTTTTGTAATCTATGCAGTAGCAATTTTCATCCTATTTAAATCTTTTATGATTGCATGAGTCGATTTGCCATTATTTCAGCTAGCAATTACTACACCGACAATTCACTGGCAGCTGTGGAATGAAAGAGTATCTCCTCCTATGAGTGGAATACCACATAGAAAAGTAGAGTTAGATATATACCACTTAAGCCATGGTCCCTTTCATCTGTGTGCCTGTAGATGTGTACGTCTGTGAAATGAATGACTATCTGAGATCAAATGAAACTCATGTATGCAGACTTTTCTGGCTTCTCTATGCTAGGAAGTAGACAGCTTTTTAATCTGGGAAAGTTATACAGATTTAAAGTATAGCTACCTTGCAAAGGTAGAGAAAGCTTTGTCTTTATCACAGGCTGGCTTTTTCAGATGAAAACCAGCTTTGGCTACATCTACATTGTTAAATCAGAAGTATCTCCTATCTCCCCGCATCAGCATGACACGTGGGTGCTCACTGCAAAGGTCACCTGCACGGCTTGTTAGAAACAGCCCTTGGGACTGTTCGTATGCTTAAATACCTTACTAAATGGAGAGCAAAGAGTCTGATTTTTAAAGGTGTTTTAATGCTTGAAGATGTGGATGAGCACACGTAGACATTCTGAAATCCTTCACCAAGCACCATCTGTTCGCATCTCCAGAAATCTACATATCTGCAGAAATCTGACATTGGGCACAAAATTGCCTAAATCACTTGTATAGGTCATTATATGAGAAGGGTCTCAAGCCATGAGCTACTGAAAAATAGTATTTCGCTAGGAGTAGTAAGTAGAAGTAAGGAATTTATGTGCTTCTGGCAGAGCTTGTCTTCTTTTCTCAAGTTTGTATAAATACTTTAAAAACAACACCGTGAAATACGGTTTCCTGATTTTTGTCTGTGTTGAAATTAATGGAACCTATTCTTTTCTGTATGGCCTGGGCTGACCTTTCAAAATGCACCAGACTGCACTGAATAGCAGGTATTTTCTAACTGTTTTTTCCAGAAATGATACCTGAAGGAATTTTGCAAGTGCATCTTCTTCTGAGACTGAGGTCACTTTACACGAGGTACACGAGGTATAGTCAACTTAACTTCCACACTTGCATTATCCACTAATATATCTCAGCTTGTAGGACCAAGTGAATGGTAGTAACACTGGTGAGCACCAGCTAAGCTCCCAGCCTTCTGGTTAACACTGTCAAAGGGCTCATCTTTGCCACAAAGCACAGGCGAGGTGAGCTGGCTTCTGTAATACTATACTCTGAAAACCTGCTACTGGAGTAAGAGAAAGCCTTCATCTGAGAAGACAGAGAACCAAAACAATGTACTCCATAATTATAAGAAAACATGGCTTTTGGGACTGGGTCAATAAAGGACATTTTTTTATTCTCTAATACATTTGCCCCTCATAAAAATCCATTAATAGTGTTTACTAAAGACAGCTTAATGGACCAGAATACTCATGGATATCACCCTAGCTGTCACCTGCTAGTGACAAAGTATTTTCTTCTCGATTTCCAAAGGAGTATTGGACAGGAACTTGCCACAACACTTGCATGACGCCTAAGGAGCTTTTCCCATACAAAGGCCATAGGACGAGCTCCTGAGATCCCAATATTCCAAGGAACCTCCTTCAGGGGCAAGGGTCCTCGAGAGAGAGAGAGTTCTTTGCAGCACTGAGCTCTTCAGAACAACAGATGATTGTAAGTTCTGGTTAACATTTCATTCCTCTTTCTATGCAAAGGTATTACAAGATAGTCAGATTCATGCAGAGTCTTTCGGGCTATATTATCTAGGAAAAGACAAAGGCAAGCATTCATCTGAATTTTCCATTTCCTCTTCAACTCACTTATGAGAACATGGTATCCTTGAGCTTGCCATCTTTGTCCCTCAGTTTAGATTAAAACTCTCTTTTGTATTCTAATATAAGCAACTTAAAAAAGATACAAGGTCAACCTGTACTAAAAAAGCTTTGTGCTTTTATATAGACCCTTGAAACAATGCAAGGGGGACACTTTCCTCCTGTTAGTCAAATAAGACTCTACTGTGAAGTAGTATCATCTGATCTTTGAGACCAAAGCCTAGAGAACAGCTCAAAAGACTACATATTCAGTAATTTACCACTTCATTCTAAAACCTGTAGTTGCCTGTAAGATGCACAAAACAGATGGCATTCGTCATGTGTCCAATACAAATGGCTCGGGTCTCTAATTCTGAGAACTACTGGTGAACAAAGTAACGTAGGAATTATTGCAAAATGATTCCACCAATAGTTCAGAAAGATGAATGAAGTCAAGTCAAAAAGATGTACCAGCCAAACTGCCCCTGAACCATGTATTTTTCTGCTAATCCTCTACATGGGACAATCACTTTCTCACAAGTGTCTAAGTTAGGTTGAAACAGTTAATTGAATGTTAAGATTATTTATTGTACAGAGATTCATAGTCAGATTCTCCTCTTATTTATGCTAGTACAGTTTCCTGCAAAAACAAATTCTGTTTGCAGATGAGAGAAGGGTTAAGATGGGTTAATTTGTCAAGGCAGAGCACTGGACCAGCACGGCTTCCACAGCTCCAGCCAGCTTGATTGTCATTGCAGCTATCTTAAGTTTCCTCAGACAGTGATTAATGGCACCAGGTAAATATACTCCTAATGCTAAAACACTGCACTGCCACAGGCTGAACTGAAGAAGCTGCTTCTAGCCATAGGTTAACATGTTTTATTACTTCTAGAAAGCATTCCATATTAACAGATCTTTAATTAACAAGAATAGTGTGAATATACTCAAATCACTTGACAAAACACGATTTTTTTTTCCAATGGCATTTAATAAAACGCATTACCTGCTCCCACCCTCCTTAGGTCTGTATTTATGCTCAGTTCTCCTGAGTAATAAAGGACAGTGAATAAGCATTAAATACTTGTCATAAGAAAACATACCCTTATCAGTCATCACCAGAGTGGATAGATTGCAGAAACAGGATGAGTTTTTCAGCACTACATTTTCATAAAATATTTCAACAGGTGTTATAATTTTTATCATACAGGAAGTAAGGCTTCTGTGTATGCTTGCAGTCACAGCAACCTACAAAACAATAAAAACAAGAATACAACAGATTTTTTTTTAATGTTTGTTAAGTCAACACCTTATCTTTACAGAAAACTACAAACTATGAAACGTACAAAATGAAAATTTTGGTGGCGGAAGCAGACAATTCACTAGGTAGCCTCTCAAAGGAGAGGGCCTCTCCCGACTGAAGAGGCGATACAGAAGGAGTCCTGAAAGGAACAGCATGGCTTACTTCCAGAAATCAAATGGATCTGTACGGTATGGTAGGGGAGCAATCTGGAATAATTTTGGATTTTAAAACAAGAATTTTACTATAACAGTGTTATATACTGTTACAGTCCTTTACAAAGAAATATTTGAGCAAGAATGTTCAAATCCTCACAGACAATGCTTGTATCCATAACCAAAGTGCACTTAATTACGAAACAGAATTTGTCTTGCAAGGAATTATCCTTTGTTTCTGGCTGAGATCGCTTTACAAATATGATCACATTAGTGCATTCAATCAGGAAACCAGAAACAATAGCACGCAGATTAAGTGGCCAGTCACAATACTTGATAATCAAATACTCAAGGCTGTGTGTGCTGCGAACAGATACTGAGTAAATACTAATATCAAACATTTAAAGCCGCATTTGTGTTAGCCTATGCGTCCCAGTGAATCTTTTGTAACTTGTTACAAAGCTCAGAACTTACATAACGCACTTGATAGATAGTCACTGGAAATATTAAAATAGCTGATAAAGTGATATAATGGAAACGTTGCCTTCGTCAGCATAGTGAATTTTTTAATCAACATCACGAAGTATAGCTTCAGGATACATTTGATAGGAGAGGAAGGGAACATCTATCTGATTGACACATTCAACTTTCTGGGATTTACAATACATTTGCCAATTGTTTAGACAAGAGGGACTAATATATGGAACATGGTGACAAAAGAAGGGAAGCTGCAATAAGCAACAAAATGACACCTTTTAAGTCACAATAAACAAACACATATAAAACTGGGTATACATACCTGATTTTTGGCAGGGAAACTTAGCAGGATTTTCAGATCTTTATCAGGTGCATGTGAAATGTTATACCAACCCTTTATGTTGTTTGAACGAGTACAATTTTCTTTTAATGTGCACCTAAAAGTATACATAAAATTATACTAGCCTCCTTATCGTGGCTTTGACTTCAGACACTGTACTTCAACTTATTTAATGTTATTGATTTTTTTACAGTAACATTATTGATTTTTTTACAGGAATATGGTTATAACTGCAAAAAGCTTCAGGAAAACAATCAGTAAAATCTTCTGCTTATCAAAACAAATTACAATGCATTGATATATGCTCTAGGGTCCTGATTAAGTCAATGGGACTCAAGCAAATATTAGATGCTTGGCCAGTAACAGTGGACTTGGTAGTCTGGGATGGAATTCATTACCCCCAACTTGATGGCTCCATTGTACAGCTTTAGACCTGACTCCCTCCAGTTCCCTCTACACAAAATGGGGAGAAATATTCTCTTTCAGGGTGCAATTCACCTAACTTATTTTAGACATCCATACAAAAATGAAATGAACCACAGTATAGAAGCTGCTCATTCTTTCCAAAGAGTATAAGAGGAGATGGGGGTGAAGCTCAGATTTAGAGCTATGCGATGAATGTGTATAGCTGATGAGATGCATCCTCCTTCCTAATCTCCTCTGTCGTCCACTGATGTGAATGGTAATCTTTCCCTTTTATGGCAGTGCACTTCGTTAAAAACACTGGGTTTGAAAAGATAGTTCAAAATAGATCTGCCTGTCCTCCAGAATAAAATCCATTTCAGAAGTAGGATGGCACAAAGTAAATAAAAATGCTACACAATGTCATAAACAGAAAATTAAGGAAGAATGAGGAGACACTGGGATACACAAGTACTACAAAGATTACACTTATTAAAAACATGTGATAAGGAAAAGACAAGATAGCATACAAATTAGATGGACTGAGTTTGAAAGGTGAATGCTTAAAACACCATCTGCCGTGAACAATTAATGAACAATCCATAGATTAACTCCAAGTAATTTCACACAGCTAGCAATTAAAGACAAGTAAGTGCTAACTGTGTATATCTTAATATTTTAAAATTAAGAGTCAATATTTATAAATACATGTAACATTTAATATTGTTTTAATAATAGTACTTTTCTACCAAGTGTAGAAGCATGTATAGCTTCTGTGACATGTGCCTTAACGAACTAGTCCTTCCCTAAAAACTAGGAAAGTGTACATACTTGCAAATCATGGGCCTTTTTCATGAGGATCTCACTGTATAAACATATTTCACAAACAACGTGTATTCTCTCCAGAAGGAATAACACAAGAAAGACTTTGAAGAAAAATAGCCGCCACTTTCCAAAATGCCTAAAATAACCCCACAAATCATAAAAACCACAAAAGCCATCTTCTCTGTAGAATAAGACGTTGGCAACTGGAATGCAGTTAAGCACACGGTCACTTCCTTTGTGGTCTAACTCAGGAAACTGAGTTCCTGCTGCACAAGAACCCGGAGGGGCTTTGCATCTGAATACATTCAGATCATAACTATACTGCAAGAAAGAGGGACCACGCCTGACATATTTCAAACTGTCTGAACCAGGACAAATTTCAGTCTCATTTATATTTCCCTTTACCTTACTGAGATCACGAAGGTCCATTAGCAGCACAGTTTTAGAACCACAGAGGATGGGATCTGTCATCAACAAATGTGCATAAACCAGATGCTCAGATGCGTACGGGTAGGCAACTCCCACTGGTAATGACGCACGGGAGAGAGACATCCTATAGCTTCTGACAGGCTGAGGATCACAATGTTGAAGATGGAAGGCAACACACTTGCGATACTTGGCACTAAATAAGTGTATGCATTTCAGTGATGCTAATATTAAATATTAAAACCCAAAACTGTTTATAAAGCTGAATATTTAAAACCAGCCTACAATGAAGTTATTTGCCACCTTAGACTGCCTGAGGAACAGAAGTAGTGAACTTGCTTCCCTCGTCTACAATGAAGAATCTTAGAGTTTAATGGCAAAAAGGTAACGTCACTCAGGACCCAGGGTCGTGCTTGACTTCATGCCATCAAAAATGTGTCTTTTGTTGCTCTAGAAGCTGACCTTTAACACTCAAACAATGTGCTTTGGAGAATGGTCATTTCGTTGGAAGCAGTTGCAAAGCAGAGCATCCGATGCCCCTCAGCATAAATTCTCACAATTGCCCCGAACAGGCCAAGAGCAACATGAATTCCACTCACCCAAAGACCACATTATTTTCTTATATCCCAATTTTTAGACAACTGGTATTGTTTGCAAGCACATTGGAATGTATACAATAGATAAAGGTTATTTGTGAACCACATGGTCCTGAAAATTAGCATACAGACTCAGACAATTACAAATTCTGGCTTTCTTGGAAAGGTGAACTGGACCGGATCCCATACAAGTATGAAGGTATAAGGTATGAAATCCTAGGATCAGATTTCAGACATGTGTAGATACATGTACAGAGAAAAGCAGAGTCAAGTTTTTTTTAATCTTTCACAGCAAGCTAGTTCTTTATACTACTAAAGATTCCTCTTCACAACTGGAATCAAGCTCCTCTTACTTCATTATGAGAACATGATACCTACGTATATAGGTTCATTCATATTTACTTAAGTCTCTGCTTCACTAATCTTGTATTAACTACAGATCCTACTGAGTTTGCCCTCTCTGCCCTGCGAAAGCATACTGATTTCCTCAGGGAATGAGAACACGGCTTCAGAGAAAGTTTGAGCTTCCTTTTCCAAGGTACCAGCCCCTGAATGAAGTCAACAGATGTCACACACACTGACCAAATTCAAAAGTAAGGCTGGTCATGTCAGATAACAAAGACATATTGTGTTTCTTCCGTATGGAAAATACATGTAAAACATCAGTGCCTTGTATTGGAATAATTTTAGCATACTTCAGGTAAATCTGATTCATCTATAGAAAACCTAGAAACATTAAGAGAAATCACACAATGCTATGAATAACCATTTTGAATGATTGTAAGTGGAAAGGAGAATTTATATGTTTGTCCCTACGGAAGACGGAGTAGAAATAGGAACAGCAGAAACATTTTGCTTCATTTTGTTTTCACTTGCAATAAGATGTGAAGATTTTTTCATCGAATTACTGGATTTGAGTTCACACTGCCTTTAAAATGAAGCACTGCTGGTAAGTTTTATTTTTTAAACGGAGTACATATTTAATATAAAATTGACGAGTACAAAACATATCATCAATCTCAAAATTATTATGGAATATATTTCTTTAGTGGGTATATATGGACTTTGATTAAAATACTGACTAAAAACATGCCTTCCTCTTTTTCTAAAGCTTTACTCATAGCTTTCTCTTCACAAAACCAAGTATTTAATGACGCTAAGTGCTTAACAGTGAAAAAATATGTGGGTGTTGAACAGGATTCATATTATAGTAATACATTTTTTCTCCAAAAGAGTAAATGATTTCTGTTTCAACCAGATGGAAACTTTTGGTGATTCCCCTCGTAAACAGGGGATTTACTGACTAATAACTGTTATGCACAAACTATTTATAAGGTAACTAGACGCCTGAAAAGCTTAGCACTGTAACATATACAGTTTCTAACAAGGTAGCAAAAGAGAATTTGAAGAAAACACTTTACAGAATAAACACCTACTCTCTTCTAACAACTACATTTGCAAACACAAAGTAGCAGGTCTTCAGCAAAATCAGGTTAACATTGAAACAAACCAAAAGGTGTAGTATTAACCTTCTGAACCAAAGCTACTAGTGGAACTCCTCAAAACTCAATCTTATAAACACTTTTGTTTAATGTTTTAATCGCTGATAAACTGGCATAAAAGAAGATTTACACTGTCAACATCTGCTGATGATACAAAGTTGGGAACATTACCATGCAGAGGAAGATGAGAATATCACACAGGAAAACTTGGATAACCCTGAAATGGGATGACAATTCAAAGCAGAAAGTACAAGAACATGTACCTAGAGCAAAAAAAAATCTCACAACCCGTATGTGTTATAGACTGGAAACTCATCAGCTGGAAAGAAAACAAAAAAAGAGAAGGACCCGGGGGCATTATTTGATCATGGATGACTGTGGCCCATCAATGTGATGCTGTCCTGAAAAAAGACGTTTGTGATACGCTATGTAAGGTGCTTCCTGAACAGACTGACTAAACAACATTGAGCAAGGCACAGCTGGAATCTCTTCTGGAATACTGTCACAGTCCTGGTCATCCTTATTTTAAAAGGATGCATAAATTTCACAGAAGTGAAATTCTACTGGAGAGGAGTTAAGAAAGGAGTGTCTTAAGGTGAGAGGATCTTCGTGAAGTTAGTTGTTTTAGCACACCAAAACGAAAGTGAAAAAAGAGACTGCTTTCACAAAAACATGGAGGAGGTAAGTGTGAGGGAGGGGGGAAAACCTATTTAAGCCAAGCTGATGTGAGCACCAGAACAAATTAACATAATCTCTCCATGAACACACACGTGATGAAAATGAGCAGACAGATTTTAACCAGGAGAAAAATAAGACTCTCAGCCACACGACCAGGACAGGCAGGACAAAAAGCCTATCTAAATTCAGGATGGTCCTTGATTAGTTTATGAGTAGGTTTACATGATGTGGTTGCCTGCAATTGCCAAGACCAGGCTTGATGACCCAGGAATTTCTCCAGTCGAGGCCAAAGATGTACAACAGCTTTCAATCCTGCTTCAAACAAAGCAGCAAAACTAATGACTCAAATGTGGGGATGAAGTGTTTAGAAAGAAATTCTCCCCCGGCCTAAACCAAAGGCAGTAGGTCCAAAGAAAGAAACTATGAATACTGAAGACAACGGAGCATTCTTTCCCTGTTCTCACATGCAAGATGCTCCCAGCTACTAAGATGCTTCAAGCTTGAGTATACAATTTTCTCTCTCAATCAATCTGGAACGCAAAAACTTCTGTTCTAAAATCAAAATAATTTCTTCTTCTTAGCCCAACATATATTTTATGGGTAGATCTCAAAAATCTGAGGGTTAACATGGTCTTTAAAAGGTGCAGAGTTCCCTTTCATGTGACAACGAAGTGCCTCACGTTTATGGCTATGACTGATTCCATAAAAATTCAGTAGATATAATCTTGATGCTGAATAGCCCCAAGCCAGTCAAAATGTACACTGACTAATAATGCATTGCTTTTATATGGAAGTCTAAAATACCAAAAAATACCTTCGATTCAAAGAACACCACCCACAGTAGGGATCCTTTGCAGATAAGCATTCTTGCTCGGAAACGTATCTACCGCAATTTGCAACTGGTATTCTTCTCACCTAAAACCAAAGAATGCAACAACACACTGGATTAAAATAGCCTCCATAAACAGGGAAATTGAGGGTTACCATTAAAAATCTGACAGCAACCAAGCACAATCCCTTTGGGGAAGTTTCCTTAGGGACTCCCCTCTGCCAGAAGACCTTTGGATAGAAATATGCAGCCTATTTTACACGCGCTGTATTTTGCCATCAAATGACAAAACGCCTCTGACAATGACAATTTGGTTCTACTACTCAAAGGCCAGCATGGACAGATTAATGCAAGAAAGACTGATTAGCATAGTGAATTATAGATAACAACAGAAATAGAAAGGAGGTATATTTTATAAATAATGCTTTGCTTAGCAGAACACTGTTTTCCTCTCATCAGAACTGAGATTTTTAAATGATCAATGAAGGTGCATCCAAAAATGCATGCACAAAACAAAATGCATCTGTGTTTGCATCACCATGTCAGGTTACTGCATGTGCACACTAGAACAAACACATGCAACTACTTCGCATGCATGAAAATGCCATTTCAATAAGTAAATGTAGATAATTGTGGCTATATTGTATGTAGCTATACTTGTACATTCAGCTCGAATATCCTAGCCAGCCATTTTCAGAAAAGGAAAAGAAAAAGAAAAAGAGAAAGCTGATTACAAATACTGAATACAAATAATGGTATTAATAACAGTGTTAATTAATAATCTTAGTAAGAAAAATATTCATAATTCAAAACATTTTTTAACGAATTTGCAAGAATTAAAAGTTCCTCCATTTTGTGAACAGACACAAGGATACATGGCTTTCTGCGAAACCGTATTTACTGTTTTTTCCAGCCATATCTTGTAAAATTCAATTTATCTGAAGGTGTGTGAGATAATCAGTTCAGAAACCAGGCAACATCATAGACTACTAGCAAGTTAAAAAAAGACAGCGTAGAAGCCTTATTTCAGCTCCAAGAGGTGATTAGAGGGAGGCATTTATTCCTTAAAGCTGGTGTTCATCTGTAACAACTTGCTCTTTTATCAAAGCTAAATAAATGTCAATTCTTTACTTTGAATATCTGCATATACTTTTGACTGAAATTTTGATTCCTTCTGTGTTTGCAATAGACGGTTCATATCAGTCAGGAGTTCTCCTACCAACTTACCTACTCTTTCAGACAGGAAGCTAAAATGCTATGTTCAATGCTGGAAAAGTGACTTTATTGTAAATGAAGGTAATCAAGTGCTGGGTGAAATCCTGTCCAGCTAAGATGGACAGCCAGCCCTTATATTTTCACTGCCATCTTCCCTGCTGCTGGCAAGACAAAGGAATTTGCTGAGTTGATGCTCAGTAGCCCTGCTGTAGGATGTGCTGGAAGAACTGCGCTGGCTCCTGGGAGCCGCTCTCTGCTTGATATGCAGCTCGGCCGTGCTTGCTCACGTGCAGTAGCTCCCAGTGATTGCTGAACTCCTTGGACTCACTATGCATACACATTAATCACTGCTGATTGTGGTTTTGTTTTGTTTTGTTTCTTTTAGTCTTTGCCTAACTGAAGATGATGAGAATTTTATCATTGATTTCAGCAGAATTAAGACTTCAAACTCATCTCTCAAATTAAGAGATTTCTCCACATTAGAAACTCCATAATTGACTAGCAAACCCTGGCCTACCGATACCTGGATTGCTAATTCAGAGGAACTCCATCTCCAAAGAGTCTACATGTTTTGTTTGCTACCTCCCAGCTTGATTCTGCATGATGCCTCCAGGAAAAAGGGAAACAAAGACTCTCGACAGAATGACATAAAAGAAGCATGAGATTAAGGGTGTTGCTGGCTCATAGCAACAGTGGGCAGCACCATGACAGTGGAAGCTCTAAGCTCTGTGCTCTGCAGAAGTGCAGCCCAAACTTAGACAACATGACCAGATACTAGGTGCAAAGTTGCTAACTGCAGTTTGGATATTTAAGGTCTAACTCCGATCCAAACTGATGCTTCACGTATCACGTGGCAGAAATCCTCAAAGCAGTAGTTTACTTGAATTTATTATTTTATTTAATACAGTGCTTACCTTATTGGCAGAAGATAGATAGATGTAGTTACTATCTACTGGATCAAGTCGAAGTTTGGGGAAAATGGAGGTTTCTTCCTTAATTTCATATAAAACCTCTGGGCAATTAGATTCCATATCCTCATTAAGAATAGCCTAAAACACATGGAATTAAATTATTCACAAGTCTTTTTATTGATCAGTCACCATGTTAAACAAAAGCTGAATTTCAGCTACATCAGAGCTTCTGAGATGATTCAGTGTGCCCTGATTCAATTCACCTACTGCGCTGGCTCTCAGACTGCAGAAAGATGGAGGAAAAGACCACCAGAACAGAATTTCAACAAAATCCATGCCAGACACATTTTGCACCGAATCTGGCACTGGTTTAGTGTATGAAACACCCCTCCCACCAAGTATGCTCCTGATTGACGCAGAAACTGAATGTGGAAGAGACGCCTATATCCCAAAGTCATAACGCTTTAAGTACTCCTATGAATGGAGAAGAAACTATTAGCCTTCAAAAAACAAATTAACGTCCAGACACCCATAATGTAAAAAGGAACTTACGCAAGTTACTGACAACTGTCTTCAGGACAGAAGTTTCTTTGTGGCTTCTGTGAGTATACATCTGAGGTGGCATTTCTTTTTCTTACCTTGCCCAACTCTACAGTTTTCCACCACCCTTCACACAGAATTCAAGAGAACCAGACACCACAGAAACTTTATTTTGGAAGTCAATAAGCACACCAACATTGCCATACAGTTTTCCATAAACACAGCTAAATAAGGGAGATATGTTCATGGTCTCCACTGTGCTAAGGAGACATGGAAGACTTCAATTTCGTTTTTCATTATGAAAAGCACGGTGAAATCAAATGGGCAAAAGCTTTTCAAGCTCTCTACTGTATTCCTCTCCAACTGCCTGCTTAATAAATACAAAAAATGAGAGTCATCCTTTGCAGTGTAGACAGGAAATGCACGTTCTTGTAAAACCCAGAAAAAAATTAAAGCATAAAAGACATTTGTCTGGATGGCTGAAAAGTTTGATAATAAGATAAGATGACTTTCACTTCCAGGTGATTGATTTAAGGTAGCGTAGGTCGACTATTCAGAAGCTAAGGCAAAATAGATCTTGACTTTTCTCTCTAACAGACAGCTATTTGCATCACACAGATAGGCTAACAAACAAATAAATATGCTTCCAAAATCTAACAATATTTGATATTTCTACTGGAAAATCAAAGCAAGGAAGGAAACAAAGACAGAGTAACTGAGAACTCCACAGTCCATAAATTGATACTGTGGGCATTAGCAGTTTAATGAAATGTTTCCATGAATTTTAAGCAGGGTACATAATTGCTTTTGAAAGTTATCTTGCTCTCCAAATAACAATACAGCAGTTACTTCACAAACAAACAAAAAAGGAACAGAGATTCAGAGGATTATATCTGTTTATAATACAGTGCCTAAACCAGGAAACATTTACCCACTTGAACACAGCAGAAGCTGATGGAGAACGGAAGAACTGTCACACTTCGCTTACCTTCAATAACTGTCCATCATCTGTTCCCAAAAAGAGAACTATCTGATTCAAAACAACTGTGCCATAAACAGCCACTAATCCAGAGTGAATCAAGGTAGGTAACTTCTTGATTGATCGTGCCTCCTGAAAATCAGATATAAAAGCAAGCTATTACAAAATCATTCTATACCACAAAATGTTAAGAAAAAGATAAAGAAGAATCCCTGGGAAGATTCTCCAAGAACTCAACTTTAGACAACACTTTGGGTAACATTTTAATTCTGACACAATTTCAGAGCAACATATCATTGGAAATGGTACATGAAACATGAAACTACCTCTTTTTTATACATGGCAACTGGCGACATCTGTGATAAAGATTACATCTACTGCAGCTAAATCACTGACCTCAGTGGGACACAGACTTGGTCTAACAGCAGCAAGTTATTTTGCAACAGAACTTCTCTTTTTTTGGGACATAATGCCCTGGGCTTATTCTGAATTGCCAGTTCTTCTCAACGAATCCATGCTTTGCCATCACCTGACTACGCCTACCATGAGGGCTACAGATACACTCAGCAACCACTTTTAAAGACATGCAAATATTCTGGAGAAAGGAGGTATCTCAAACACAGAGACCCTTTTTTTGTGTGTGTGTGTGTGTGTCAAAAACGCGGAGCTTCATCCTGCCCTTTCTGGTTTCCTGCTTTACACTAAAGGAAGTTGAGACTTGTGTATTACATAAATATAAAAATGAGATAAAGCAGTATAAAGTTCATATCAGGGAGAACATAAATGTATCTGTGTGAACTTTAAAATCAACATGTTACAACTGGAGAGTTATAACTCTCCATCCAAGTTGGAGGAAGTAAAGTGACAAACACATGTAAGCAGCTCATGAAAGAAAACGTCATGCAGTAAATCCCTGTATCTTGTGGAAGGAAAAATCAAACCAAATAACCGTGATTGTAGAGGATCGAGTGCTAAAAGCAAGCCCTGCTGTATGAGAATAAGGTCATTCACCAGGTGAGAGATGGTCTCTGCCCAAACTCCCTCCAAACCCAGCTATCTCCCTAGCAAGCAGTAACTCAGTTCTGCAGTCCTGTAACTGCTTTAAGTCAACCTCTGTGGCAGAAACTGCCAAAGGTGTGATCCCACCTGCTCTCCAAACATGTCCAACCCCAGGCAAGCTCTACCTCCTCTTCCCCTCCATTACTATAATGCTTTCCAGTGAGCTTAGTTAAGGAAATGAAGTGCCTAGAAAATGGTCTGTAAATCCATCTACCTACCTACCTAAGTTTTCATTTGAGTCATTCTCCTCATCACATGAACATGTGGCTGCACGGACACGAGTGCTGGCACAAAGGAGCGGCAGGCATGGATGGAGGTGGGGAGCAAGAGCTCAGGTAGGACCAGGGAACAACCCCTGTAGGTCGGCTTACAAAGCCCAGAATCTCGGCCTCAAGGATGGATTCCTAAACCTACAAGAACCCTCTGACTGCGAGAACCTATTTCGCTTTAATGCACAAAACAAGTGTGAGAATGGACCATTAAAACTGACATTTTGCAGAAAGGTGAAGGCATTTCTCAAAGTTATGAAGCGAATCCATAACACAGTAACAGCTGAATTCAACTCTATTGCATGCTAGGATGCTGGCTTAACCCCAAAAAGTCTTTCCACACAGAAATAAATTTTTTTTTCAACTGCAATCCTAAGTCAATTAAAATCTTTTTCAGTCATCTGAATTATTTTAATTAGCTTGCAAGAACAGCCACTTGGAGTAAAAGCAGACTTGATCAACTTTCATATTTGAAGATACTATCTTTTTTTCATGCAGCAGGAAGAAGACACAGGAACTGTCATGTACCGGCACAGACCTTCAGCAAAACCCACTTAGGCATGAGACTCCAGTACCATGGAGGTCTGTTTTAGATCTGGGAAGGAAAAAGTGATTGCAAGCTTTTTAAGGTGGAAAAAGTTAATTCATGTTTTTATTAGATCAGAGGGTAACAAACCTCGAGCAGTGGTGCACACAAGCAGCCTTCTCTCAGGTTAAGGAGTGTGGAGGTGAAGCTTCCAGGCTTTAATTTCTACCAGAATTAGATATTTTTTTTCCTGCAGTGCACCATGTAGTAGTGTAAGGAAAACAAACCACCGAAGGTTCCTCGCAGACTCTGTACAATAAGATGACAGAAGAGGGGAGGACTCGCCCAGTCTCTGAAAAGCTTTGCTGCCAGATTTTATTTTGACCCACATACCAGTAAAATAACGAGTGTCATATCAGTGCATCCTCCTCATCTGACTGAAGAACCAATCTGACAAGTGTGGAAGCCTCCTCCCCTCACTCTGCTTGCTAGAGGGAGGGTCAATGCGACATTGAGCTAATACAGATAAGAAGAGGGGGAATTTAGATGGTGGGCAGTCACAGTAAAAATTGCCTTCTCTCTTTTGCAACCTATTTCTCCAGCCTGCCCGTTCCCTCCAGGGTGCAGCTGCTGCTTTCACCCTTCTGTCACCCCTTTTTCATGTGCATTTATTTTTTTAACAAGCTCTTTTACCTCTTCCTCTGTGACTAATGGGGTTACAGCACTGTAGGGCCTTCCCAAGCTTTTTCTTTCACAACTAAATCCATCCTTAAAATGCATTTACAGTCTAAACTTCCTTTTACTGGAAGAGTCACTCATCTCCATGATCATCTATCTGTCTATTCTGTAACATCTTCAGGCTCATACAAAAACAAGAAAAGCAAAAGAAAAGACAATCCTGCTCTAGAGGACCTTTCTTTTTTTAATTCTTCAGTTCCACTCTCTGGTCTATTCTATACTCCCCCAAAATCTTCATATGCACAGCTAAGCCTGGCGATCTCCTGAATTAACTTATGTTTTGCTTTTAAGTTCACTCCTCTATGCTGTTTGGTTATTGGCATGAAAGGTATTTATACTCATTTTCTATTTTGCATCTAATTTTCAGATTTATCTCCGTATGACTCCAGCTGCAGCAACCATATTCACACTTCTACTTTCTGTCTTGATTTCCTCCCTATTATTTTACATTGTGTGCCTCAGAGCGAAGGGTAGCATTTTTAGCTCACGCAGCGCTCATCATATTGCAGCTGGCCAAAAAGTAAAAATACAGGGTTTGAGCATCAGAGTGAATGAACAGATGCAGCTATACAAAAGGACTCACGGCTTCTGAGCAGCGTATAGCAATAGTCAACACTGGAACAATACATAGATGTTTTTCCTAGAGGGGAAAAAACTTCTGGAACCTCATTCTTCCTTCTTAACTTCACCACCCTTCGACAACGTGCATCAATTTTTATTGTATCAGAGGGTAACAAACTTAAATATTGATGCATGCAGCGAGCCTTTATTAGGACTAAGGCAACGAGGAGATGAACTGTTCCAAAATTTTATTTTGAGGTTTTTTAATTTGTGCACTGCATAGCGATGTTAGGTGGACAAACCATCCCAGGTGAGCAGACTGCAAAAAACCAGGGAGGATGACCAGGAAATGAGAGGGTCTTCACAGAGACCTTGCAGAAGCAAGATCCTGAGCCTCATGCAAGGTAGGTGGGACAGTCAGAGGCTATGCTTGAGCAAGAAGTTGATGGAGACGTCTGAGATGGGGAGGCTAGAAATTTGTTACTTCTTGCAGCAGCAGAAACACCCCTTCTCTGCCTTCAGATCTAAGTTTACAGAATTGGTAAAGCGTCCTAATAACCAGTGAGGGAGAACAAGCTCCATTAAGGAAGGCTTTGAAACCAACTGAGCTTGAACAGAGCATTAGAAGAGAGCAAGAGGAAGTGGTGGGTGACTGTGGTTGGAGATTCCCTCCCGCGACGGATGAAGGCACACATCTGCTAAACAGTCATGCCAGTGCAACAGGTTTTTTTTCTTTCAGGGGTCCCAATCCATCACATTGCAGAGAGATTGCCAATGATTTTCCATTCCTTTGACCATTACCCATTGTTGCACATCCACGTGGACACCAGAGACATTGCCCAGTGCAGATCAGGACTACTGAGCTCTGAGGGCAAAGTGACTGACATAGGACCTCAGGCTTTGTTAACCCTATGGGGTCAGTGAAGGGTGATGCTCTTCTGGATTTGCTACTCACAAACAAGGAAGAACCGACTGGAGATGTGATAATCAACAGCAGCCTTCACTGTAGTTACTATGAAATAACTGAATTCAGAATCCTGAGGGTGGTAAGGAAAGACTAGCACAGCACAGAGCTGGAGACCAGGTTTCAGCTTGTTCAGGGAACTGGTTTGTGGGATCCCCTAAGAGGCAGCTCTGAAGGGAAATGGAGCTCCGGAAAGCCAACAGGTCTTTCAGGACATGCTGGTTTTGCCTAGGATATAGTTAATTTTCTTCACAGTAGCTAGTATGGGCTATGTTTTGGATTTGTGCTGGAAACAGTGTCGATAAGTTATTGCTGAGTGTGGTGGTTTAACCCCAGCCGGCAAGTCAGCCCCACGCAGCCGCTCGCTCACTCCCCGCCAGTGGGCTGGGGGAGAGAATCGGGAGAGTAAAAGTGAGAAAACCCGTGGGTTGAGATAAAGACAGTTCAATAGGGAAAGCAAAAGCCGCACACGCACGCAAAGTGAACCAAGGAATTCATTCCCCACTCCCCGTGGGCAGGCAGGAGTTCAGCCATCTCCAGGAGAGCAGGGCTCCATCACACAGAATGGTGACTTGGGCAGACAAACGCCATCACTCCCAACGTCCCCCCCTTCCTTCTTCTTCCCTCAGTGGTATATGCTGAGCATGACGTCACATGGTGTGGGATATCCCTTGGGTCATTGGGGTCAGCTGTCCTGGCCGTGTTCCCTCCCAACTCCTCATGCACCCCCGGCCTCCTCACTGGTGGGATGGAGGGAGAGGCAGAAAAGATCTTGGCTCTGGGTAAGCCCTGCTCAGTGTCCTGGTTTGGGCTGGGATAGAGTTAATTTTCTCCCTAGTAGCTGGTACAGTGCTGTGGTTTGGATTTAGCGGATGTTTTAGTTATTGCTAAGTAGTGCTTACTTTAAGCTAAAGACTTTTCAGTTTCCAATGCTCTGCCAATGAGGAGCTGCACAAGAAGCTGGGAGGGAGCGTGGCCAGGACAGCTGACCCGAACTAGCCACAGGGATATTCCA